TTAATACTGAAGGAAGAGCATTCAAGCAACATTAATGTATATCAGATTGAAGATGGGAAGGGCTATCACGAACGAGTAGTATTTAATCATTCCAACTTACCAGTTACATTCAGTGATAGTTATTTTTTTCTGAAAATTCACGGTAGTAAACACTGTTACAGTTGCGTGATAAGACACAGTTAACAATTTAAAGTACAGTAAATGCTTCAAAATAAACGATTTACATCAGGTCAATATTTCGAACGGCTCGGAGTGAAAGTTCACATGGATGAGGAAGGGGCGATAATATTTCTTCCTACTATTGTAATGAAACAACTACAATACTAAGGTTGTGATTGCACAGATTAACTAATTTATAGTATATCGGACTTTCGAACAGCTCTCAAACTTTGAGTTCACGGAGATTAGTTATTAGCGATGATATTTCATTCTAATACTTTCGCAGAATGAATTCCATCGGCATTAAGTACGCAAAAATTGCAATTCGATGTAAGTGCCATATATCTTCCTTTAAAACGTATCAAGCTGAAATTTTACGTAAATTGGCAGAAAATGATAATATTTCTTCCTAATATGTGTATTATAATTGAACAATGCTGTTGAGATGCGAATACGAAATATTGAAGAACCTAAAGTTCTTACAATATTGGTCCGATAGTCTTAAAGTCGGAGATCACACGCTGGGTAGGTTGCTATAGTTTGGTATAACCGGTTTCGATTTAGACTTCGTTTTGTAAATTTAATACAATCGATTCATGACGGAATTTAAATTATCAAGCATTGAATCCATCTGATCGGAAGTTCTTGTGACAAATTTTAAAAGAGAAATACAGCACCATACTTGGTAATTAAGTAGTTTTTAATAAGAACTTTAAGGCATTTTAGTAGCTTACTGCACATATTATGGCTTAATTAAGAGATAAGATACTGAAATAACCTTATCGATGATAATCTTTTCATTTCTTATGTAAATTACAAGACTTCTTTTATTTATTTTAAGTGTAATCTAATTTGTTAAGATGACGTTGTTATAAAGATTGAGTGAAAAATCTGCTACCACTAATTGAAAAACTGGAAATTTAATGTTTCCTTATATCTGTGATACTTTATGTTGATATAATGCTAACATCTTCTTATGTCGTATTAGCACATTTTATTGTTAGTTATCTTGATGTCCTTGCGATAATAAGTTACTAGTCAACTGGGTTTATCCTTGCATCTTTACCAGCCGGTACCTAAAATAGAAGAAAAAATGTTAAAAAGTTGGCTCATACTGATAGATATCTGTTATAAGAATGGATATTAGACTGATGCTTGGCTTGGCGTATCAGTATTTGATGACCATATAGATGAAATGATATCAAACCTGGTAGATTGATATTTTCTTATTCATCGATGAAAAATGCTTGTTATGGAATAAATAGATTATATTTATTGTATAACAATACATGAGGTGCTTTTAATAAATATTTGGACTGCGGTTCTGAAAACAGAGCGAAGAAAATTATATCAAATCATTATGGCTTAAATGAAAGGCCAATTAAATAGGCAATGCAAACGTGGCATTAACGAACTAAATGAAAAATTCTTCTTTGAATATAACGCCAAAATTATCGCCTGCTTCGGAGATGGAAAGTGATGATAATACCTATTCGCTTACAAAATATCGTAGGATAATTATTGTAGATTCAGCTGGAGTCAGTCCTTATAATAAATGGATCTGTAGAACATGCAATTGTAGTAGTAATAATCAATATTTTACTTATCAGCATTGCTAGTAGTATATAAATATCTATTTCAATTTACAAATATCCATTTAAATAAACACTATTATAAACATCTACTACACAATTTTGCTTTAATGGCATATTAAAAGACCCAAATAATTTAAAAGATATACTGTTTAAACTATAATATTTAATGAAATTGGTTATAACAGAGAGAGTAGGTAAAATTGACCCTATCAGGTTGCTTATATTGAAATAAAAAATGATGAAATTTTATTAGAGAGACAAGAATTTTTGATTCAAGGATTAGAAGCGCAGCCGAAATAAATTACCGTCAGATCAGGAGATTGTTTCTCTTCATCCCATTTTTACCTAGTCCGAAATTGAAGTTATAAATATTTAATGGTAGACTATAGATAGATTAAGATTTTTCGTATTATTCGTTCCCAAGTTTGAGAATTTTTACTTCGTACTTGGATATTGTTACGAGCTAGATATATCCCTAACTTGCAATAAAGATTGAGAGAGTAATTTCTATCCTATACTACTGTTATTTGGAATACCAGTCAATTGCTATTCCAAGACAGATAAGGTTTAACACAGAGAGACCTTCAAAACTTACTAGAAAATCGTAATTTAATTTATTATCGGAGAACACGCCGCTTATATAGGTTTCGGTACCTAAAACCGGTTTAACTACACGAATCACCTCGTCTATTAGAAATTAACTAAATTAATACTTTAAAGAGATTCTATCTGTATAGATTAGACACAGTCTAATCCTATTAAATTTTACTGTATCTGTATTAAAATAATTTATGCTTAATAATAGTTTAATAGATGCATATTAAGCTATCCTACTAAGATATTTCCTCTGACCTTAGGAATTGTTCTTTAAACTTTAACAATCTTGGAAAAGATAGATACAATGCTGTTTAACTACTTGGCAATTAATATTTTAGTCTATCTAATCCTAAATTAAGGATATCAACTGTTAACTACTAAAGCTAAAATTAAGGAGACCGTAAACATTTCTGAGATGTAAACACATATAAAACGTAATATAAAAATAAAGTACACGTCACGAATATTACTTTCGTGACAGACATATACTATAGTCATGTGGAAGGGTTCGAGATAGCATTTTATCTTTCTTTTGCTCGTCTCTATTCTTGATCTTTTTCTAGAGATTAGGATAATGAAGATCTTGTCCTCCAATTCAATAGAGTACCGCGATGTTATTTTTTTCATAGTTTTGTATTAGTCGGTTCATGATCGCAACTGTAGTTCAAAAATTGTAACTGGCTCTAGGCCAATTAATTGCTTTCACAACGCTATATTTAGAGGCTGAAATTAATATGTGGCTGTTTACTAATCTATATAAATGGATTATACCGAGTGTAGATCGATGAAACTAGTTAGCATTGACGATAAGGAATTGTTAAAAATTAATCAGGAGCTGAATATGAAGGAGCAATAGGAAGATATTTTTTAGCCGAAATGATGCATAATAGAAGATATATTGCATTTTAGGTAGTCTATGGAGCGATATTCATAGTTAAAGAGATGCAAAAGGTTGTACGCTAGACCGACGGCTGTTTCAGTACTGGTAATATACGCGTATTAATAATAGAAAATGTATTTCTTCATTTTAGGGTACTATTAATTACTGTAGACTCTTAGTCAGGTTTGGAACACAGATTAATTGTTGTTAAAGGAAAGGAGTGATTTAAAAATGAATCGGTATCTGAAAGATTATCAGCTTAAGAGCTCTAGGAAGATGGCTTTGCAGATGCAATACATAATTGAAAATGTCTTGATTAATATATACCGTAAGTTCTAAATCAAAGAGATGAATTAGATGGTGATTTAGACCGAAGGGTCCTGTGATTAAATCTAAAGTGATAGTTAATCGAAACTGTTGTTAAGAATGAAGATAATAATACCAAGGTAAAGGTACAGAAAGAATGCAAACTATCTCTAATTGTGTTCTAATAAACAATTTCCTACACCTTTATTTACTATTAAATTATACCTCTTAGTATTGTAATTAAGGGTTTATTTCATGTTGGCGGATAGTTATACTAAAGTCTGAGAGCATCTTCATTAATAAATCCTTAGTACATTTTCCATAAGACTTAAAATCACTGTTGGTAAACAGATTAATGATCAGGGTACAAACGAGTAAATAAGTGAAATGATTCATTGGACTATTTAAATAAGAATTCTTCGATTGAGCTCTTTCCTTACGACTTTGCATATTTTTACTTAATTCATTTCTATCATTCTTAAAATTTGATATTATTAATAGTTTAGCAATTTCTTGTAGCAATTTAAGAGATGAAACTAACTAAAATTTTTTCAAATATATTTTACAGTCATTGAAATGATCATCTCAAATCTAGCTAGCAATTATAATTTATCCTATGTTTTATGGCATTCATGCTAAGTCAAAAGTCATTTCCGTCTTTTGAGTGGAAAAATTCTTTTATTCAATTAACCTACTACAATATTTATAGTTAAGCTTATAGCTAGAAGCAGTCTTATGTATTTCAATGGATATAATAGATATCTCACTGAATAGCTAAAATAATTTCGCAATGAATAGCGGAATTCTCAGTAGGATAGTTGTATCTAGGTTCACGGAAAACTCGTGGTACATTGAAAATGTTACTTAAACGAGCAACTATATTGCAATTATTAGCTATATGATTAAGGAAACTGACGCAATATATAACTAACAATAGGTTATAATTTCATAATTTTATATATTATCATATCATTATTTGTTTCTAATTGCAAGTATGCTACGATCGTGAATAAAATCTTGAGGCATTTTGAAGGCAAATTTTAAAATTGCCTTTATACGTAATCATAAATAAATTAGATAGTATAAATTTATTAGAATACAGAATATCAATTCGATATTGACCAATTGGCAGTGGTATTTTAATCGTGATTAAATAGGGCACTATGAATCTATTTTTAAATATTTTCTTCCCAAATAAATTATTGATTACTTTTTAGCGGCATAAATCTAATAATGTACGGAATCTATTATTTATAAACAGTCCATAATGCATTTTCCTATATTATTGCGAGTAGTATAGAATACTCGTATTTTATCTCAGGTGTTGAGAAAGTTCGATATATTATAGTAACTACCTCCGTCGACCCACTTTAATAGAATACATGACGAACTACTGTATTTAAATTTTAATGTGATGTGAAAGAGAGTTTTTTCATTTTAATTAAATGGAAAAATTGATAGTCTTATTGAATCCATGCTCTATTTCCAGAGATGTAGATTATTATCCTCAGATGGCATAGATAGTCTAATTCAACGTCTGCTAACTCATAAGTTCTTTCATTTACGGAATCAGAAATATTCTCTAGGAGTACTTCAAAGTTGATATATCCCAAATTAGTCTTGCCTTTCACATTTGATTTCTTTAGCATGCTCTGCTAGAATAGATTGGGATGATTAAAAGACTTTATCATTTCTATTAGCTCAGAATTATGTTCTGACTTCTTCAGAGCTGATAACTATTTTATTGTAGCAGATGGTTTTTGTGCGGACCCAAGAATCATAAAAGACCAGCGATTATAGATCTTGATGAGATTAACTGGTTTAGAATAATATAGTAAAGAAGGGACTATTTCCGTTAATGGCTTATACGGTAACTTATTAATAATATCATTTTAAGGCGTTTGCAACTTAAACAAATGTAAATTTGTCCAAGCCTATATTTTAAGAAAGGTTTAGACTTTATATAATAAAGGGCGAATTCAGTTAAGGTTTTCTAGCGAATCCAGGAATGATTACTGAAATTTTAGGCTATTGTACAGCAGATTGATGCTGTTTTGACCAGATACTTCGTTATATATCAGTATTGATTAATTAATATTATGCCATTTCTTTATGCTATAGTAGATTGTAGTATATTAGAGTTTGATTAAGAGGAATACCATATTCTGCTTTATCTTTTATCCACAAGTTTAATCACAGTGAGGTATTTCAGAAGTCTTGATAAACACCCATAATTTAGGAGATCTTTACATTATGTAGATGTTTTCTGATGTAATGAGATAAATTATGATGTACAACTCTGTTCCATTTCTTAGAAAAGGCTGGAAGCAAAATTATAGGATTTATGCTGTAGGTATTTGACATACACGAGCATAAACTTTTCTTCTAGGTGCTTCTGGAACAGTTTGCTTTTCTAGTAGCGATTGCAATTGTTTGATGTATTCTATAGCCGATCTTAAAGTTTTGACCTTCGATAATTTGCGATTTTCGGAATCTGTTGGGACATGCTTGCGTAATTCACTAAAGCCATCATTAACCAATTGGACACGGCGTCGCTCTCGCTCATTGCGCCGTTTGGCCGTAACAGATTCTTTAGATTTCGATTTTTTCAAATGTTTACGCTTCGATTGATTGTTCAGGTGCACTGTAGTCTCTTCTTCATCATTTTGGTATGAAGAAAGGACAAATTGGTTTGATTGATGATTTGGTAAATATCCTGAAGATGTATCTAAACATGGATCTGATTGATTCATTGTAATTGTTGTCGACGTTTTTGATGATGATATTGAAGGTATCGATGAATTTGTAAATGAATATTGCGAGAGATTAGAGTCGGAATCGACCGGTGATATGGAATCTACGGATAATGGATTCATGTTTATTAGTTCGTTTCTTTCTTTAATGGATATTTTCATAAATAGACAACGGTATGCTTGAATGATGCAATATTTTGGAAGCACTAATCATTTAACAAAAATAAAATTTAATTAGTGAGAGGTAAGATTAGAAGATCGTTACATTACTTTGAAAAAGGATGATTATGATCAATTTGTTTCAATATTTTCATTTATTTTGTATGTAAATCAAATACAAAGCAGAAGTTTAAATTTACTATGATATATACTGTACCATTGCATTCAAAAATATTAGCAGTGTATAGCGACAATACAGGAAAATTTAAAACTACGAAGGTAATTCAAAATAAATTGATTTCAGTTCGATCGCTTTGAATATCAATAATCCGTAAAAAGCCGTAGGTATGCAAGATTTTCCATTACTTACAGCATATCGAAACAGTTAAAATTTAGCAATAGTATTTATGTAGTATTATATAAAAGAAAGTTCTATTTTCTTGCTAACGAGAAATGGAAATTTACGGTAATCTGGTTGATGTGATCGATTGATTGATTACTCGTAGTTTTAAAACAGAGGTATTATTCGATTTATGAAGCAGTGACGAATTAAATTTTTATCATATTTACTAAAGAAGTTGACCGAAACGTCATTCTTTAATATAATTAGGTCTATGTTGCCTAGTCTAGTTTCTATTGTGGTTGATATAGTAAGCAAATTAACTTTTCTCGTCATGCCGATGGTTAGAGCCGTATAAGCCTTATGAAAATTGTTAAATCAGAAAATCTATTTTTTATTAGCTATTGAGATTTTTGTTCGCATCATTAGGTTATGAGAAGTGCAGTAATATTAATTTATCGTGTTATAATGTTATCATATCAGCTAGATACAAATATAAATTAAGTAACTGGCACATTGAGGCTTAAAATGAGTTTCAAAAGATATTGATAAATTTAGAGAATTTACGATGATTATCGTAGTAGATAATGATATCAAGTTATGAGAGGAATGGTTAAACTGCTATAAAAATTTACTTCTTTACGGCTACTCGAGAAACTTTATTGGTATGATTTGATTGTGAGAGTTACTGCAGTCTTAATTTCTCTTGTGATATTGTTGTTATATTGGATACTAGTCACTTTCACTAATCTTTATATGAAGTTGTTTTAGTAATATTAACTATATTATTTATGACTAGGGAAGCTTGATAATGATAGAAAATGAAATGACTGAGAAAATTTACTGTATATAGAAATCAGATTTGTGTTTAACTTTTTGTAACACGTGTATCATAGCATGAAAAATCTCTAAAATCTTGATTGAAGATGATCTATAATTAATAGTAGATGATGAATTTTTCGATAGTATAAGAACGAAAGCCTTTGCATATTAGGTTGCGTAATTTTCTTGATTTACGTGCAATCTTTATAAAATCGGATTAACCTACACCTGATTTAATACGTGTATCGTAGCTGGAAAATTTTAATTTTAAAGAAAAGCTTAGATAGAGGATGATTTTTAGCTTATAGTAGACAATCGAACCATTAGATAATTTTAATTTTGCAACAACTAAGTACCGTAACATGATGTTGAGTGCTACACGCTCTTATTAATGTTTAGGCATAGTTATTTAGTACGGCTGTCAATTTAGTGAAAAAAAATATGACTGCATTACGAGTCTGATATATGTATATTTTTTATGTAGAGCTAGTATAGATAACATTCCATGATTGAGATAATATTCTATGAATAGAACTACGAATCTACGCGTTTATTGAGGAGTTTAAAGCCATTTAATTGCAAATTTACTAAAAAGGATAATGTAATTTTAATGATTAGCTATCAAAATGAACTTAAAATTCGTTAAAGTAAGAATAAGTTGATGTTGATCTGTCATCGCTCTTGACTGTTTGTTATGATATTCAAACAGTCAAGAAAACTTAATTCAAAATTTTTTTCGGCTATGCACCTTGTCATATTCCTCTAGGTGCTGGACAATAAAATAATTGCACTTTGGATGACGAAGACAAGGCTATCTACTTACTAGACTTATTCAAGGTACTGCTTGCATCTTTATTAAATTAAATCAACAACATTCTACTTACATAATTGGGACCAGTAAGATCGATAATCTGTCTGATAAACTTGGCGATGAGATTAATTAATTGTGAGCGATCGCGTTAATTGGATAAAGATAGAAAATTTCCTATTTTATAGGAAAAATAGTTCTTGATTAGAATTAGCGTCAGTGAAGAAATTCCGAAGTTGATTTGAAACTATCCGCTGGGTATAGAACTAAAAGGATGAAAGTGAAATACTCAACAATTTAAAAGTAATAATTTACCTTACTGAGATCTTCCTTATATACCTAATGTTGCTTATATGTCAACAATAGGCATCATGACAATAGCTTTTGATTAATGAACATAGATCAAAATTATCTTTCAGTATTTTTATCTATTGAATTGGTTAGGCTAGATGATTAAGTCAGACTGCAGTTGAGAATAGAATCGATAGAGAAATTGACTGTCTTTGTTCGATGAAAAGGATCAACGGATAGGTAACTTTTCTGTGAGAAACAATGTCAACTATTTTATCCCTACCCAACCCACTGCAACATATTTTCATCTTTATCTATTATTATAAGGTTATGTATTGTTTGAATACAGACTATCTTCGACTCTAACATTTATTATTCAGTTGCCAATGATTGTCGTTATTGAGCTAAATAAAACAGACGAAGTGATTATTGTTATCTACTTTTTATCCTTTCGTCTTGATAATCAACATCCTGGAGTTTAATTAAATTCCCATAATAATGAGAAAACAGCAACAATTTATCGACTCGAACTTAGTTTCGCCGACTAGCGATAACAGCTCCATCGCAATGATGGTATGTGTGGGAGGAAACTAGCTTTATAAATAACCGGAATCGAATAATATTTCCGTACACTTGCCATCCTCTCTAAGGGAGAAAGTAATTCTCAGTGCTGGATAGAGTCATCTTAAACGATACGGAGCTGATATTTCTATCATTTTCACATTGAAAACATAATAGTAAAAGTGCAAGTGGTTGAAGAAATGAAAGCGAGACGTAAAACTTCATCGCGCACGCGTAATGATACATTCCAGAAATGATTGTCTATTGTTCATTGCATTCGACGCATGCGTGATTCTTGTCCATTCCAGCTCCAAACAAAATTCTAAAATAAATAATCAAAAATCAATGGAATAATTTTCGCATCTTTCTAATTGATGATTTTAGAATAATTTAGAAATAGTTAAATGTCGCTGAGAAAGAGAATATCGAATTAATATCATATTTTTTTTAATGGAAGAGATATACTGTCAGGATTCGACGGCTACAATTAAAGTTGTAAAAGAATGAGCATGGAACGGATTAGGTGTTAATATTGCTTGTGGATATGGAACGTGCTCTCGAGTTTTGGAAGGTTTTTTGCTAGAGCTGTTTGCTAGTAGAATTGGATAGATTGTTAGAGTTGTAATTCGTGTGCATAAAATGAGATTAAATGTCTACATTGAAAATTGAATTTAGAAAGGATTTATTATGCGAAATAATATGCAGGTTATATCTTAATGGACTAAGAAACACAATCCGGGTTGTAATTTCTGCTCTAGAATAGACACGTATCTAAAATAATTTGAGGCCTTTCATGGAATAATATCGATTATATAATCGAAACTCTTATGGTAAGGATACATTGTATCAAAATTGGATACACGATCGGTATAACAGATTACTATAGATTAAGTATACTGTATACTGTAATACAACACGGTATAATTGAATTGATTGAATACTTATATGGAATAGGAAATCAGTTTATCAGCAATTGATCATATGAAGGAAATTTTATATCAGAATTGGATAGGTGATTGGTTTTCAACCACTTCAGAGTGGCTTGAAATCGTTATATTTTAATATTTATATTACTTTGGTCGTTATCAAATCAAAATATGCATACAATCAATAATGACTTCTAAGTTATCTTCAAGTATCAAACTTTCTATCTTTTTCCTATCTTATTTAAGCAAGTAGTTAGTAGTAGTTTCCGACAAAATGCTAATATTTTTTGATTAAGTAGTTCTAACTTTAAAATAATACATCTCTTCAAATATAACCTAAAGAGTATCCTTAACTATTTCTACTTTTAAAGTATTACATCTTAAGTAATCGTTAAAGTGGCATTTCGAGATACCTTATCACATTATTTCTTGGTTATACCTGAATACTGTAGGTAGTAAAAAGTTACAACAGCATTGAAGCTAGCTAGCATTATGACTGTTATTCAAGGATTAATAGCAATTTCCCAGTTCCAAAGCTATAGCATTGCTTATTATAAACTTGCTCCTATCTATGAGCACTTTTGGTTATTTACCTCATAGTCGCCTCACACCATACCATTAAAAGTAAACATATTACCATTAATAATACATATCTACTTTATAATTTTATGCTAACAGAACTAAGAATAGTAGATAAAGGGGTGGGAACTTATTCAATAATTTTCCCACTAATGTGAAACTTTTTCACCTGATTTCGTATCCCTAAATTAATAGGAATGTTCATGTTAGAAAGTTGATTAGCTATTAGTAATTTAATATATAGAAAGAATTGAACAATGGTAGTTTTAAATAGTCATTTATATAATCTTCGAGCGAGAGGTCGGGTATGCTATCAGGTGGATAGAATAGGGAAGTATTCATTATCTCCGTATTATCGTAAACATAATGAGATCTTTCTTTACACAATTCTACAATTTGATTGTTTGATATTGCAGTTTATAATGATGGGAATATTCTGTATTGTTATCGGTGATATTCGGTGAGAGAATAAACAGCAGCAGGGTATTTTATGGTATAAAAATGAACCTTATTGAAATTCTTGCTTTTAGAAACTAATTCTTGTTGGATAAACATCACATTTGTTGTGGCATCAAATAGTTTAAATTCAATAACGTTAAGATTAGAATCATTAGAATAAGAATTTATACCACATCTA